AGTCCCATTTCTTTTCTCTTTCCTTTCTTCCCTTTTCTCCCTTTCTTTTCTTCCCTCCGTTCCCTTTCCTACTCTTCCTTTCCCTTCCCTCTCTTCTCCCCTTCCTTCCTTCCTTTTCATTTCTTTCCTTCCTCCCTTCCCTTCTCTTTCCCCTTCCCTTTCTTTCTTTTCTTTTTTTTTTTTTAAGATTTTGTTTATTTATTTATTTGACAGACAGAGATCACAAGTAGGCAGAGAGGCAGGCAGAGAGAGAGGAGGAAGCAGGCTCCCCACTGAGCAGAGAGCCCGATGTGGGGCTCGATCCCAGGAGTCTGGGATCATGACCTGAGCCGAAGGCAGAGGCTTTAACCCACTGAGCCACCCAGGCGCCCTTCTTTATTTTCTAGTGTGTGAAGAGAATGTTCATTTCTAAGCCAGTTTCGATCTCCTTATCCAAAAAGGGAAAGAGCCCTGGGTGATTGGATGCGACAAAAGGACTGTGCCCAAGCAAGTGTTGATCAGGTCGGGGGAAAGCTCTAGAAGGAACCCTGAGATCTTTGGTGGGAAGCTCTCCTCAAAGGCCATGGCCTATGGAGAAGGGCCTGGGACATTGGGAAGAGATAAGATCTTTTCAGCATGTCCCCTCTGTGTCCCCGATGACTATTCTCTGTACTACCCTTACCTGTTTCTCAGTCATTTCAAAAAGGGAGGTGCCCTTGTTCTTCCTCAGTGGATACCTTTTCCCAGTCCTTAAGTTCTTGTTCTTTTTAATTTGCTCTTTGCATTTATCTATACTTGTTTTTATCCCTCTCAAGTACCTACTTTTTAAAAATACTTCTGATCATTTTTCTTTTTTTTTTTCTGATCATTTTTCTTACTGTCCAATGGCTTATTCTTTTTTTTGATGAATTAATTTTTTTAAAGATTTTGTTTATTTATTTGACAGATCACAGGTAGGCAGAGAGGCAGGCAGAGAGAGAGGAGGAAGCAGGATCCCTGCTGAGCAGAAAGCCCGATTCGGGGCTCGATCCCAGGACCCTGGGATCATGACCTGAGCCGAAGGCAGAGGCTTTAACCCACTGAGCCACCAAGGCACCCCAATTTTGATTCAGCAATCCATGTATTCATTTATTCACTCATTTTTTAAAAGTGAGTGAATATTGTTGATTTTTCTAATTCATGAAAATCTCTTTTGGGGCCTTTTGTGAGAAGAAGTAAAACATACTGAATAAGAACCAGACTGCTGGGGTTTGATTTCTAGCTCTGTCATTTGCTAGCTTATCTTGGACAACTTGATTCAGTTTCCTTATCTGGAAACTGTGATTTATGATAATATTTGCATCATAAGGATCCAATGAATTAATATATAGAGAGTATTGTTAAAATTTTTAATTTGTATTTCATTTATTTATTTAGAAAGAATGAGCACTGAGTGAAGAGAGGGTCAGAAAGATAGGGGAGAGAGCAGTCTCCATGCTGAGTGCAGAGCCCGACATAGGGCTTGATCTCAGTGCCCCTGAAATCATGATCTAAGCCAAAATTAAGAGTCAGACACTTAACGAACTGAGTCACCCAGGCCCCCCTCTGATTTCATTTTTAATAAATTAGTTAAGTCATTTTATATAGTAAGCAGTTAGAAGTTTTCAGAAATGCCTTCTATTAGAAAAAAAATGTTTTGTCCCCTACTAAAAAACAAAACTGCATATAACTGAATCTAACAGTTTTGAGTAATTACCAAAACTTCACCACTCTAAGAAGCATTGGTATTAGCTGCTAAGCTAAGAGATATAACTCAACTTTTAAAAAATTGATACTTCAAAAATCATATCACTGATGTCAAAGACAAAGTTCTTCTAGGACTCAGAAGAAAGGGACAAAAGAAAACCCATGGATACAAAATTTAAAACACAATCATGAGAAATGCAAACACAATCAGAGGTGGGTAAGTCTTAGAATTTTTTAGAGAACAAAGCACAACAAAGAAATGGTTTGGTGTAAAAATTGTGAATCAAAACATGATACCTTAATCAGCTTCTGAGCATTTAATGGTCATCAAATACAAATGATAATCTAATATAAAACCTTTGGGTCACTAAACAAATACATGGTATGAATCTTCTTCCACCCCAACTAACAGCACCACATCCCCCACAGTGTTAGATCAGTTTTGGAAAATCAGAATTCTTTCAATCACAGCTCGTGTGAACGGTAGTCCATCCATCTGTCTCTCTGCTCCCCTTTGACATAAGACTAGTTAGAAAATGAACATGTGGGTTGATCTTTGAGGGGGCGGCTGCAGGGTCTCTGGATTTCTTGAAGAGAGTCCTCTGCCTCTCTTACTGCACTCTCCAGTGCTTGGCTGAGCTCCTGTGGCCACACCAAGGCATGGCAGTACATGGTGGTAAACTCCTTCCCACACAAATAGGTGGGAGGAGCAAAGAAGGGAAGAAGTGCCTGACTGAAGAAGTTCCTGGGAAAGTGCTGTGTGGAAGAGGTGGCCTGAGAGGTCTGCCTTCTTCACAGAGCAGGAAGCTTCAGGTGTATTAAGCCAATGCACAGCTGGAAGCCAGGATCACTAAATAAGGACTGGTATTTACTAATTTACTTAAAAAAATTTGAGAGAGAGAGAGCATGAATGGGAGAGGGGTAGGGGAGACAACCAGACTCCTCACTGAGCACGGAGCCAATGCAGGAGGTCTCAATCCCAGGACTCTGAGATCCTGAGCACCAGAAGGCAGATTTTTAACCTACTGAGCTGCCCAGGTGCCCTGCCCCTGCTCATGCTATTTTTTTTTTTTTAAGATTTTATTTGTTAGAGAGAGAGAGAGCGCGCGCGAGCGAGAGACCACAAGCCTGAGAGAGAGGTAGAGGGAGAGAGAAGCAGGCTCTGATGTGGGGCCTGATCTCGGGACCCTGGGATCATGACCTGAGCCTAAAGCAGACGCTTAACTGACTGAGCCACCCATGCGCCCCCAAAATTCTTTTAAAGTTTATGGTTTGTGGTATTCAATAAATCTAACAGCTTACAAAAACTTCTCAAAAAATACACTTTTAGTATTTGGTTGGAAATGGAGACCACTGTTACATTATTTCTATTGGTAATATAAATCCACCTTTTCAACTATGAAAAACTTTACAAACAATAGTAATACAAAAAAATAGTAAGACAAATATGTGTATTACCACCATATAGAAGTAAAATTTTTATGTTTCTTTGTAGTTTTTAAACAACATATACATACACATATTCAGATGTGAGGCCCAAACTGTCACCCCTACCCCATTCTTCTCCTTCATTGTCTCCAAAAACAGTCACCATCATGAATTTAGCATACAATCATCCTATCCTTTTTTATACTTTTCCATACATATCTATACCCCAAGCCAATATACAATCCAATGTTGTTTTATTCGTTAGAGATATTTAGATAGATAGAGATATTTAGAGATATATATTATGTACATCATCTACCCTTTGTTTTTCACTCAATATCATGGTTTTTAGAATATCCTTATTAATCTATATAGATATGGTTTGTTGCAATAAATTGCTGTACATTATTCCATCATATAAATATAACACAGTTTATTCAACCTTTTACCTAATGACAGGCATTTCCAATTCCTCCCAAACCCCAATATTTGGCTACTAGAAATCAAGCTAATAGTTTTTGCTCCCAGTAATCACACTGCAAAGAACATTATGGTACACATCTCTCTAAGGGATAATATCTACAAAAGAAATTTTGGGGTGTTTTGAGGTATACTTTAGGAAAATCTATTCAGGTTTACTAAGTCATTTTCCTAAAGTTACAGATTTTTTTTTTCACAGTGGATTTTTCTTTTTCTTTTTTTTTTTTTTAAATATTTTATTTATTTATTTGACAGAGATCACAAGTAGGCAGAGAGGCAGGCAGAGAGAAAGAGGAAGGGAAGCAGGCTCCCTGCTGAGCAGATAGCCCGATGTGGGGCTTGATCCCAAGCCTGAGACCATGACCTGAGCTGAAGGTAGAGGCCTAACCCACTGAGCCACCCAGCCGCCCCTGGATTTTTCTTTTTTCAGTGTAAGATATAAAGTAGGAATCTCTTTTTCTACAGAGAAAGGCAATAATCACCCAAAACTTTATTTAATTAGGTCATAATTTCTTTACAGAATTAAACTTATGTAGGCTTCATATTCCATTCTATTAATCTATTATCTGTTAATGCATATCACAAAGTTTTAATAATCATAACTATATAAAAATTATATCATCTGAAAATATGTATTCCTTTTCATTCCTTATACTTCTTCACTTTATTGCATTGGCTCTGATCTCTAGGATTATACTGACTTGTGGTGATATCAGGCATCTGTGTCTTGTCTCTGACTTGAAGGGGAATGTTTCCAAAAGTTCTGCATTAATTACGATGTTTACTGAAAATTTTGTTGGCCTCAGGCTTTTCATCATATTACTGTTTCTCTTCATAAGAATGTTCTGATCTTGGGGCACCTGGGTGGCTCAGTGGGTTAAGCCTCTGCCTTCAGCTCAGGTCATGATCTCAGGGTCCTGGGATTGAGCCCCGCATCAGGTTCTCTACTCAGCTCCCCCACCCCCTCTGCCTGCCTCTCTGCCTACTTGTGATCTCTCTCTGTCAAATAAATAAAAAATCTTAAAAAAAAAAAGAATGTTCTGATCTTATATTTTGAGCTCCTGCTAAAGGCTTTCCTACGTTCATAATGTTTTACCCCACGATGAATTCTCTGATATGTAGAAGGTGTAAACTCCTATGAAAGGCTTTGTTATCAAGGCATTTGTACTGTCTTTAATAAGTATGAATTTTCTGGGATGCCTGGGTGGCTCAGTTGGTTAAGCGGCTGCCTTCGGCTCAGGTCATGATCCCAGAGTCCTGGGATCGAGTCCCACATCGGGCTCCTTGCTCAGCAGGGAGCCTGCTTCTTCCTCTGCCTCTGCCTGCCACTTTATCTGCCTGTGCTCACTCTCTCTCTCTCTCTCTCTGACAAATAAATAAATAAAATCTTAAAAAAAAAAAGTATGAATTTTCTGATGCCTAACGTGGTGTGACTTCTGGCTGAATGCTTTCCCACAACTGCTACGCTGATAAGGCTTCTCACCTGTATGTGTTCTCACATGTAAAGCAGGAGTTGAGAATTGAGAGAAAGCTTTCCAACACTGATTACATCCATAGGGTTTCTCACCTCTATGACTTCTCGTTTGCACAGTAAGAGATGGAATTTGTGAGATGGCTTTCCCACATACCTCACATTCATAAGGCTTATCATCTGTGTGAATTCTCACTTGTATAAAAAGTGATGTAATTTGAGAGAAGGATTTTCCACATTTATTACACTCAAAGGGTTTGTCTCCTGTATGAATGTTGTGATGTTTAATGAGATATTGCTTCTGGCTAAAGGCTGTTCCACATTCATTACATTTAAAAGGTTTTTCTCCAATATGAATTTTCTCATGCTTTGTGAGATTTGATTTGCCACTGTAGGTTTTCCCACATTCTTTACATGTATAGGATTTTCTCCAGTATGCGTTTTCTGGTGTTTAATGAGGCTTGACTTCTGAATAAAAGCTTTCTCACAGTAATTACATCCAAATGGCTTCTCACTAGTATGAATTTTCTGATGGGTAATGAGATTTTCTTTCTGATTGAAGGATTTTCCACATTCATTACATTTGTAGGATTTCTCTCCAGAGTGAGCAGTGTGATGCTTGGTGAGGCATTCCTTCTGACTGAGGTCTTTTTCACATTCATTATATTCAAAGGGTTTCTCTTCCATATGGATTTTCTCATGGTCAGTGATATTTGGTTTGTGGCTAAAGGCTTCCCCACATTTCTTACATGAATAAAATTTCTTTCCAATAGGAATTTGCTGGTGACTTAGGTCTGACATCTAAATGGAAAATGCAAAAAGGTTTAAATTTTCTCAAGTTCTATGGAGTTGTGCTTCTGGCAAAACAGTTCTCCAAACTTGTTACTGTCATTGAGTTTCTCCACTGTTTGAATTTTCTCATACGCCTCCAGTTGGAGTAACTGGCTAAAGGTTTTCCAGTAGCCTTACATGTACAGGTTTCCTTTGCTGCATTATTACTCTAGTGACTAATAAGATGAGTGTGAATATAACCCCTCACATGGAGAAAGTTAGTTCATTGGGTTTCTCTCCACAGTGTATTCTCAAGCTTTATTTGTGAATCCCTGTTAATACAGATTTCAATTAGTAGGGGTTACTGCAAAATAACACGAGTTATAATACACTTATAATATTCATATCTTTTTTTATTACATGGATTCCTTTATAATATGTTAAGTCTAAATTAAGCTTTCAACTCTAAAATAAATAGATAAAAAAATTTTAAGAGAAAAAAAAGAAAGAAAAGCAGATGGCAGGGAAAGGCACCAAACTGAAATCAGGGGGATTAAATTTTTTTTTTTTTTTTTGAGAGAGAATGCATGTGAGTGGTGGGAGGGGTAGGCAGAGGAAGAGAGACAGAGGAAGGGAATCTTTTTTTTTTTTTTTTAAGATTTTATTTATTTGAGAGAGAGGTAGAGAGAGAGAACACAAGCAGGGGGTCAGGATAGAGGGAGAGGGAGATGTAGACTCTCCACTGAGCAGGAAGCCCAAGCTGAACTCGATCCCAGAACCCTGAGATCATGACCTCAGCCATCCAGGTGCTGGGAAGAGAGAGAATCTTAAGCAGGCTCCACACTGAGCCAACTATGGAGCTCTACCTCATGACCCTGAGATCATGACCCGAGCCAAAATCAAGAATTGGTCCCTTAACTGACTGAGCCACCCAGGCACCCCAAATCAGGGGGATTAAATAAATGGTGGGTCCTCATTACTGTTGGACTTCTAAAATTCTGGTATTCAAGAGATGAGAAGACTCTTCTTTGGAGAAATGGAATAGCCCAGGAGAAAATCTGTAATAGTAACATTTTGAGACTGACAAAGAAATATCTGAATTCTTGACCAATAGTTCTATAATGAAGATGAAAGGACAGCTATTAATCTGTAAATAAGGGAAAATCTAATATGTTAATGTAAGTCTAGTAATATGAAAGACAAATGAAAGCAATGGAAAAAAGAATTTCCAAGGAAATGGATATAGTAAGGAAGAGAAAGAAGACATAAAAACAAAAACAACCCATCAAAACCCCCAATACCAAAGAGAGATAAGATATTATATTAGGGAAACAAAAAATGGGTACTATAAAAACTGCTCTTTTTAAAAAAATTTATTCTTTTTTAATTTTTATTTTATTTTTAAAAAATATTTTATTTATTTATTTGACAGAGATCACAAGTAGGCAGAGAAGCAGGCAGAGAGAGAGGTAGGGAAGCAGGCTCCCCGCTGAGCAGAGAGCCAGATGTAAGGCTCGATCTCAGGACCCCGGGGTCATGACCTGAGCGGAAGGCAGAGGCCCCAACCCACTGAGCCACCCAGGCGCCCCGCCCCTATTCTTTAAAAAAATTTTTTTTTACTTATTTGACAGAGAGAGCACAAGCAGGGGGAGCAGCAGAGGGAGAGGGAGAAGCAGGCTCTCTGCTGAGTAAGGAGCCTGATGCAGGGCTTGATTCCAGGACCCTGGAAGCATGACATGAGCTAATGGCAGATGCTTAACTGAATAAGCCACCAAGGTGCCCCTAAAAACTGCTCTTGAAATAAAAAGATAACTATTACTAAAAAAATTTTTTAAAGATTCTATTTATCCATTTGACAGAGATCACAAGTAGGCAGAGAGACAGGCAGAGAGAGACGGGGAAGCAGGCTCCTCGCTGAGCAGAGAGCCCGAAGTGGGGCTCGATCCCAGGACCCTGGGATCATTATCTGAGCTGAGGCTTTAACCCACTGGCACCCCTATTATTAAAATTTTAATAGCAGATATGGGAAATAGTGTTGTGGAAATCACTCAGTTGTAGGAAAAAGAAATTTTAAAAAGGTAATAAATCATGAAAAAGATAACAGATAAAATTAGGGATTTCAATATCCAGATAAAAGGAGTTAAAGAGAGAGAGGGGCAAACTGAATGGAGGAAACTTTCAGAGAATAAATATAAACTTTCTAGAAATATAGGTCATGATTCTTCAAAATAAAGAGGCTCCTGTACAATTGACAAAAAGACCCATGCCAAAGGACACCTTTGTGAAATTTCAGAAAACTAGGTACATAGAGATCTTAAGTGCTTCCAAAGAGAAAGAAAAACAGAACACAAACTGTCATCACACTTTAAGATAAAAAACCATAAGCTTTGTATAATTCTCTCAGAATTCTAAGGGCAAACAATGCCTAATCTAAAATGTCAAGTCTATTTGGGCTATCATCCAAAAGTGGTAGAATAAAGACCTTTTAGACTTATAAGGACCCAAAATTTTTACTCCATATTAACCTTTTTCAAGGTGGTAAGGGAAAGATTAAACCAAGAATAAAAGAAGACTCTGCTCCAGAAACCAGTAATCCAACATAAAAAAGAGGTAAAGGTCTGCCAACTACAGGTGGGCCTCTCAGTTGGCAACCCCAGGGTAAGCTATGCCCACCAGTGCACCCACAGTAGTCACTCCAGGTTTTAGGGTAGCTGATGGCCAGCCCCGTCCACCAGCATGGTGGCAGCTGCCAGGGGCAGCCATAACAGAGGGGCACAGGCAGCCCACATAGGGCATACCTCTGGAGCACTTGGTTTTGGTAACCAGTGGGGGACTGCACTACTGGGAAAGAAAAAAAATAAATAAAAAGAGGTGAAGGAAATTTGCAAGATGACATGTGTTGGTTATTAACCTATTGTTTTCAGTTCCACATTGAACTTTTTATAGGTTTCTCTAATGCTGGGACTGGGAGTCTGAAAACCGCATTTCTCAAACTCCTTTGCCAGTTGGCTTCCTTCCTTTTTTTTTTTTTTTAAATTCACTGATAAATGCTACAAATTCATTAACTCTACAGTGGAGAAAGTCATGGACCCTATTTAAACTAAGTAATAAAAATTACCATCAGGGCTCCTGGGTGGCTCAGTGTGTTAAAGCCTCTGTCTTCGGCTTGGGTCACGATCTTGGGATCCTGGGGTCGAGCCCCGCTTCAGGCTCTCTGCTCGGCAGGGAACCTGCTTTCCCGTCTCTCTCTCTGCCTGCCTCTCTGCCTACTTGTGATCTCTGTCAAATAAATAAATAAAATCTTAAAAAAAAATAACATCGCAGGTAATGGAATATATTGACATTGTGTGTCTCCGGATAGGATAAACTGGTAATAGCATAGCATCACTTGTATGGGTTATTTCCCAGAATGTATAAATGATGAGGAGCACCTGGGTGGCTCAGTCGGCTGTGTGGGGGACTCGATTTCAGTTCAGGTCATGATGTCATGGGTCCTGAGACTGAGACCTGTGGTGCTGCTCAGCAGAACTCCCTCCTCTCTCTCCCTCTCTCTCCCTCTCCCTCTGCCCCTCCCTCCACACACTTGCAGGCTCTTTGTCTCTCTCAAAAAATAAACAAATCTTTTTAAAAAATATATAAATGATGAGAAAACATCAGGTAAACCCAAATTGAAGAACATCATACAAAATAACCTGTACTCTGAAAAAGTTAGGACTGTCAACAGGTGCAATAAACAGAAAACAAATAGGTGGTAGATTTAAACCTAAATATTTTAGCAGTTTCATTAAATGTACATAAGAAAGTATGTTTCTTTTTTTTTCTTTTTTTTTTTTTTTGACAGATCACAAGTAGGCAGAGAGGCAGGCAGAGAGAGACAGGAGGAGGCAGGCTCCCTGCTGAGCAGAGAGCCCAATGTGGAACTTGATCCCAGGACCCTGAGATCATGACCTGAGCTGAAGGCAGAGGCTTTAACCACTGAGCCACCCAGGCGCACAGAAAGTATGTTTCTAAACTTGAGGATCTCGACTGATAAAATCAAACATCTCTTTAACAATTATTTTGCAACCTTCTTTCTTGCTTTAAAAGCATGTTAAATTAGTATTTTAATCAATTCTAAACATTTTATTTTTAAAATTTTATTTATAGATGGGAGAGAATGAGAGAGAAAGAGAGAGAGAGCATGAAAGGGGAGAAGTCAGAGGGAGAAACAGACTTCTTGCTGAGCAGGGAGCCCGATGTGGGACTCGATTCTGATTAGTCCAGGATCATGACCTGAGCTGAAGGCAGTCACTTAACCAACTGAGCCACCCAGGCGCCCTAAAAACATGTCTATTTTAACCTAAAAACCCATTTTATGTTTCTTCTGTCAACCTTCAAAGAAAACTGATGCTGCAAAAAGATGCCTTCTTACCATTTTACGGATGAGGCTTAGTGGTTAATTGGTGATACACAGATACAATCCTGCTCTCCCAAATAAGGTGTCCTGTGCTCACATGTACATGTACACAGCACCCAGTCACCTCTGCGGTCACAACGCAGCATCTCCGGACTCGCCTTTGCCAGGCCGCCTTCTGCACCTGAGCGCGTCCCTCGGGCGCTTCCTCACGTCTCCCCGAAAGCCCGTGATTCCTTTCCCTGTCGCGGCCTCTAAATGGTCCAGAGAGAGACCACCGGGTCCCACCTTCACTCACCCTCAGCGCTAAGCGACTGAGGTTTGCGCTCACCGACAAAGATGAAATGTCATCCCTCTGCGTGCAGAGGGCGTACCAGCCCCTCTAGACACATACCCGGCGCCGTCGCCGCTCGGACTCCGGTGGCCCGAACCAGGTGTCCGCTAGCATTCTAGTCTGAGCGTCTGCTTTTCCGGCCAGGACTACATTTCCCACAGACGCTGCGGCTCGAGGCGGAGTCGCGGCGAAACCGGTGTCTTGTCCAGTGCCTACCGCAGCGCTCGAACCGCCCGGGGCCAGGCGCCTGGAGGCCTGGCGGTTGCATCCAGCCGACTGGCTCCGCGTACCAGCCGCTCCGCGTCGGGTCTGGCGGTTCTGTTTGGCGCGAAGAAGCTCTACGCGCCCAGTGTCCACGCTGAGAAGAGTCCCGAGGCCTGCTGCCCGCTTCCGGACTACATTTTCCAGAGGACTCCGCAGGTGGACGCTACCGTCCTCAGGATTTCGGCCGCTTTGCGGGATGGCGGGACCGTTGGCTTCCCCGAGTTAGTAGCTGCGGGGCGTTTGGAGTCCGGGGAACTTAACCTGTTCGGGCCAGAACGGAACTAGGGAAGGACTAGGGTGAGGAGTGCGGGTAGGAGCATTTCGTGTCCGGAGCGGACTGAAGAGAAGAGAGAGAGAGAGAGAGAGAGTGTCAGAGAGAGAGAGAGAGAGAGAAAGAGAGGGGAAGGAAGGAAAATGGAGGGGGAGAGAGGTTATTTGTGATTGTTACTGCGTGTCGTCGTGGTGTGTGATTGTGACTGTATGTGGTGATAACTCTGGGTGATGGAGTAGGGTGCTTGGGACTGTGCATCTTCCCAGAATGGGTACGTGATTGTGATTGCATGACTGCACCATCGTGCAAAGGGACGTAGAGGACCGGTGATTGTGCATTTGGGACTGTGTCCCGCGGTAGGGCTGTGTGTGGGATTTGGGGAGCATGTGCGGCACCGTGTGTGTGGGGGGGTCTGTGACTGTGTGGTGTTAGGTGTCTGTGGCTGTGCAGGTGTGAGTAGTGTGACCCCCTTGGGGTGTGTGTGTGTGTGTGTGTGTGAGAGAGAGAGAGAGAGAGAGAGAGAAAGAGATTGTGATTGTCTGGCCTTGGGGAAAGGGTTTGTGGGTGTGGGGAGGCTGTGTGATTCTGATTTTGTGTGTCCCCTAGGTGTGTGTGGGATTATATGTAAGTGAGTGACCTGGTACAGAAACATGTTTGCACATGAGGTGGAGGGTTTTGTAAATGTGCAGGTGTGACTCACCATTCTATCCAGCAGACATCTGTGAGTTCATGACAGATTCTGATCCTTTCCTGTAACTACATTAGGCTGGACTCTAGTCCTCCCTGTCTTTCCTTTGTATATCTGTGGTGACAGTGAGGGAATGGAGGAAGTTGTGTTCCAACCTGGTCAATGGAATTCTAAGAAAATCCAGTGTATCATCAATTTCTTCTTTCTTTCTACAGTTTCTGTTGCTAAGAGGAAGACTAAAGAATGATTATTGAACAGCCAGAGGCCACAATCAAGGTGCTTTGGGGGTTTTTTCTTTCTTCCCTGAAATAGTTCTCGTTTCTCAGAGCATAATTTTTTCCCTCTTCTGACAGTTCCTGACTACCAAAAGTCCAACAAACCATTTGTATTTGGGGCCTTGGAGTTAGATCCAAATACTCAGTTTTTAAATCTATCTCCTCCCTCTTAGTATTAATTTGGCAGTTTCTTCTATGTGCCAGATCTCTACTAAGATCTCTGCTGGTCTAGTCAGGTAAATACAAGAGCCTTTTCATAAAAGAATTGTTGGAAATAAGATTACCTTGTATGTAACATCACATACCACAGTCCTGGTATTGAAAGCCGTGCAATATATGGGATGGTGTTGTCTAATCTCAGTCCAAGTAAGTTATAAGATCTTTCACTTTGGCAGTATTTTTGAGGTATAAATGAGATTGGGGGCTTGATCAATGAATTCTGTACCAATAAGACCAGGATTTACCAGGTAATCTGTGAGTAAACACTTGGACCAGTTTCCAGGTCTGTTTTGAGTTAAAGGCTCAAATGGTTCTTTTTGGGGGTACTCAACCTGGAATCTGTGTCCATCCTTGACTTCTAAAGGGAAAGAGACTATAATGATTTTTAAGTAATTCCCACTGTAAGGGGAATTTTATGCAGTTAATTGAAACTGTGAGATGGAGCATATGCATTTGCAACATAGTGACTAACACCTATGCCCAGGTGAGAGGGCAGTTCAGATGTTGGAAGCCTTTGCATGTAAAAGTTCAGCTGATCCACATCTAGGCCACAGTTTTCTCATTTGATCTGTACAGTAACCTATTAACTGGTCTCTACTTCCTCTATTGCCTTTCTTAAATTACTTCTTAACACAATAGCCAGGGTCATTCTTCCAAAATATATGTCAGATTATGTCACTTCTTTTTTTTTTTTTTAATTTGACAGAGAGAGAGAGAGAGATCACAAGTAGGCAGAGAGGCAGGCAGAGAGACAGAGAGGAGGTAGCAGGCTCCCTGCTGAGCAGAGAGCCTGAATGCGGGGCTTGATCCCAGGACCCTGAGATCATGACCTGAGCTGAAGACAGAGGCTTAACCCACTGAGCCACCCAGGTGCCCCAGATTATGTCACTTCTTAACTTAAAGCTTTCTGTGGTTTCCCATTTCAGAATAAAAACCAACGTCTCTACGTTCTTTTTTTATTATTATTTTTTATAGCCCTACATGATCTGGCTCTCTGTTAACCTGACTTTATCTTCTCTAAATTTTTTTAATAACTGAATTCTGATCCCTCTGCATATGAGTTTGCTGATTCCCCTGCCTGGAATTTTCTTACTCCTGGCATCACTTACTCCTTCACTTTCTTCAAGACTTAACTCAGATGTCACCAAATTGGAAAAGTTGTCCTTGACCATCCTGTATAGAATAGCACCTCAACCAATGCACTTCTTATCACCCTTGTCCTATTTAATTTTTCTCCATAGCTCTTATCTTTTTTTACTGAGACATAATTGACATATAACATTAGTTTCGGGTGTACAACATAATTCAATATATGTATATTTTGTGAAATGATCTCATAAGTCTAGCTAACATCCATCACCACACAGTTGTTGTTTTTTTTTTTTTAGATTTTATTTGGGGCACCTGGGTGACTCAGTGGGTTAAGCCTCTGCCTTCAGGCTGGGGTCATGATCTCAGGGTCCTCGGATCAAGCCCTGCATTGGGCTCTCTGCTCAGCAGGGAGCCTGCTTCCCCCACTTCTCTCTGCCTGCCTCTCTGCCTACCTCTGATCTCTCTCTCTGTCAAATAAATAAATCTTTTTTTTTTTAAGATTTTATTTATTTATTTGACAGAGATCACAAGTAGGCAGAGAAGCAGGCAGAGAGAGAGGGGATGCAGGCTCCCTACTGAGCAGAGAGCCTGATGCGGGACTTGATCCCAGGACTCTGGGATCATGACCTGAGCTGAAGGCAGAGGCTTTAACCCACGAGCCACCCAGGAGTCCCAATAAATAAAATCTTAAAAAAAAAAAAAAGATTTGGGGCACCTGGGTGGCTCAGTGGGTTGAGCCTCAGCCTTCGGCTCAGGTCATGATCTCAGGGTCCTGGAATCGAGCCCTGCATCAGGCTCTCTGCTCATCCTGAGTTGGATGTCCACCCACTTGAATGACCCAGGAGCCTCTCTATTTCTAATTTTTTGAGGAACCTTCGTACTGTTTTCCACAGTGACTGCACACAGTGTGCCTTCCAACCAATAGTGCATAAGAGTTCCTTTGTCTCCACATCCTCACCAAAACTTGCTGTTTCTTGTGTTTTTCATTTTAGCCATTCTGATAGGTGTGAGATGATAACTCATTGTGGTTTTGATTTGCATTCTTGTGATGAACAGTGATGTTGAGCATCTTCATGTTCTGTTGGCCATCTATATGTGTCTTCTTTGGAGAAATGTGTGTTCATGTCTTCTGCCTTTTTAAAAATTGGATTATTTGTTTTTTGGGTGTGAGTTTTATCAGTTCTTTGTATATTTTGAATACTAACCCTTTATCAGATATGTCATTGGCAAATATCTTCTTCCATTTGATGGGTTGTCTTTTAGTTTCATTGTTTCCTTTGCTGTGTAGAAGTTTTTACTTTGGTATAATAAATTACTATTTTTAAGATTTTATTTTATTTTTTAAAAAGGTATTATTTATTTATTTGAGAGAGAGACAGCAGACAGAGTGAGAGAGCATGAGAGGGGAGGTCAGAGGGAGAAGCAGACTCCCCATGGAGCTAGGAGCCTAATGTGGGATTCCATCCCAGGACTCCAGGATCATGACCTGAGCTGAAGGCAGAGCCACCCAGACACCCTAAGATTTTATTTTTAAGCTATTTCTACACCCATTGTGGATCCCAAACTCACAACCCTGAGATCAAGAGCCACATTTCCCACTGACTGAGCCAGCCAGGTGCCCCAGTCACAATACATTATTCTTGCCTCTGTTTCCCTTGCCTCAGGAGACCTATCTAGAAAAATGTTGCTATGGGCAATGTCAGAGAAATTACTACCTGTGTTCTCTTTTAGGATTTTTGTGGTTTCAGGCTCACATTTAGGTCTTCAATCTATTTTGAATTTATTTTTGTGTATGATGTAAGAAAGTGGCCCAATTTCATTCTGTTGCATATAGCTGTGCAGTTTTCCTGATACCATTTGTTGAAGGAAACTTTTTCCCATTATATATTCTTTTTTTTTTTTCCCATTATATATTCTTAACCAACTTTATCAAAGATTAATTGGCCATATAATTGTGGGTTTGTTTCTGGGTTCTCAGTTCTGTTCTATTGATCTGTCCGTGTTTCTGTTCAGTAGGTCAGTACCATACTCTTTGGATTACTACGACTTTGTAGGATATCTTGAAATCTGAGATTGTAATTCCTGCAGTTTTGTTCTTTTTCAAGATTGCTTTGGCTATTTTGTGGTTTTGTTTGTTTGTTTTGTGGTTCCATACACATGGATTTTAGGATTATTTGTTCTAGTTCTGTGAAGAATGCTCTTGGTATTTTGATCGCAATTGTGTTAAATCTGTAGATTGCTTTGGGTAGTATAGACAGATTAATAGTATTTGTACTTTCAATCTATGAGCATGGATTCCAGTTTTCCAATTCTATCCTTCCATTTCCATCTTTCTATTTCTTTGTGTCATCTTCAGTTTCTTTTATCAGTGTTTTATAGTTTTCAGAGTATACATCTTTTACCTCCTTGGTTAAGCTTATTCCTAAGTATTTTATTATTTTTGGTACAATTATAAACGGGACCATTTTTTAAATTTCTCTTTCTGCTGCTTCACTATTAGTGTATGGAAATACAATAGATTTCTGTATTTTGATTTTGTGTCCTGTCACTTTACTGCATTCATGGATCAGTTCCAGCAGTTTTTTGGTGGAGTCTTCCAGGTTTTCTATATATATTATCACATCATCTGCAAATAGTGAAAGGTTTACTTCTTACCGATTTTTTAAATTTCTTTTTTGTTGTCTGATTGCTGTGGCTAGGACTTCCAGTACTATGTTTAAGAAAAATGTTGAGAGTGGACATCCTTATCTTGTTCCCGATCTTAGGGAAAAAGTTTTCAGTTTTTTCACTGTTGAGTATGATGTTAGTTGTGGGTTACTCATATTTGGCCCTTATTATTTTGAGGTATGTTCCCCCTAAACCTACTTTGTTGAGGGTTTGTATCATGAATGGATGTTGTACTTTGTCAAATGCTTTTTTTTTTTTTTAAGATTTTATTTATTTGACAGACAGAGATCACAAGTAGGCAGAGAGGGAGGCAGAGAGAGAGGAAGGGAAGCAGGCTTCCTGCTGAGCACAGAGCCTGATGTGGGGCTTGATCCCAGGACCCTGGGATCATGACCTGAGCTGAAGGCAGAGGCTTTAACCCACTGAGCCACCCAGGCACCCCTGTCAAATGCTTTTTATCTGTTGAAATGATCATAGGGTTTTTATCCTTCTCTTGTTGAATATAAATATTGAACCACCCTTGCATCCCAGGATTAGATCCCACTTGATAGTGGTAAATGATTCTTTTTAATGTATTGTTGGATTCAGTTTGCTAACATTTTATTGAGGGTTTTTGCCTCTATGTTCATCAGAGATATTGGCCTATAGTTCCCTTTTTTTGTAGTGTCTTTCTGGTTTTGGTATCAGGGTAATGCTGGCTTCAAGAATGAATTTGGAAACTTTACTTCCTGTTCTATTTTTTAAAATAGTTTGAGAATAGGTATTAATTCTTCTTTAAATGTTTGCTAGAATTTACCTGTGAAACTGTCTGGTCCCGGACTTTTGTTTGTTGGGAGTTTTTTGATAACTGATTTCAATTTCATTGCTAGTAATTGGTCTGGCCAAATTTTCTATTTCTTCCTGATTCAATTTTGGGAGGTTATATATTTCTAGGAATGTGTCCATTTCTTTTAGGTTTTCCAATTTGCTGGCATATAATTTTTCATAATATTCTCTTTTAATCTTTTATTTATGTGGTATCAG